AAAATATATGTTTATGAAGTGTCCTCACACATTCGTTAAAAATGTTAAAGAATTCTGTGCTTTTAAATCAGACGATAACTCAAGGCGTAGCTGCCCGCACTACGACTTTTCCGTCGCAAGACCTAAGTAAATTTGAAGCAAACAGTAATCTTATCTAGCCTATGCTATAATAAAAGACGATTTATTCACGGTCGTGAAACTTTGTCGTCTTCGGAAGCCAGAACAGAAACTAGCAGATGGTCATAATACAGAGACCTCAGAAGAAAAACAACTGAAGATTTTCTCAGTTTTCTTAACGTATGGGAAGCTACTACCGCAAATTCTATATAATAAATACTATACTTACAGCAGATTTTCTGTTTCCTAAAATTTCAACCGAAATTCTGAAATGTACTTTTGACTCCAAAGAGGTAGTTATGTAGGATTTTAATTACGACCAAATATTCTAATCACACCGGGATACCAGCTTTTAAGCAGTTTTATTTTTGACCGCTTGTAAAAAAACAGACTTTGAAAAAAAACCACCACTTAATGATATACCTATTGCAAACTGATTTTCAATTTTTTAAAATAAAATTCAAGTATCTTTTAGCACAAAAAGATGCACGAAAATGTTCTTGATCGCGCTTGGACATTGAAAATTAATATGCGAAAAAAACATATTATTGAGTAGCCATTTGTTTTTACAGATTATTCATTTTGCAAGCCGTCGGAAGAAGGCTCGTTTAAAAGCTGGCATCCTGATGTGACTGAAGTAGCTTTGGGTTTTACTGTGCTATAGTCAATATAACAACCCTAAAAAGAGTACGAGAACACATTCCAGTATGGTTAGGGAAGGGCAAACTAAAGGGTGTAAACAATTCCATTTTAGCGCATCTGGTAGACTCAGACCATCGGGTGGATGCCAAAGAGGCCTTCAGAGTGATTTACAAGGTACCCTCAAGCTATTCACAATTTCGTGGACAGCGTCTGTTGGCTACGGCAGAAGCGGCCGCCATCAGGCTACGACGAACGGTCCTGTGCGCTCAAAAGAACTTCATCGCGGCGCCACAGTTACCATTGTCAAAAGCTTCTCATCCATCAGCCAGCAGCTTAGCACCTCAGCTGACTACCAGTTCCCCCGAACGCAGATCACATTTTGACCCCCCCATTCCCCCTGCCCTGGCAACCGTTCTATTTTTCTACCAACCCGCATAGTCTATTTACTTAATTACCACGCAAATGTAAAGGCCTGATGAGAATTATCGAAAACAAACGTATGTTCGCCATTTCATCTTCTGAAACCCTAATTACGTAATATGTTTTAACGTAAGCACATTTAAGAATTTCGGTAGAAATTTTCCTGAAAAAGAAAGTCTACTGTAAGCAACCGGTGAAGAGTGCGGAACCGTAGGTAACTGCAAGACAGAGGATAACGACGTAGGTAGTGACAGAGACGAGTTGCGGGAAATATTGTGGGAGGGCATTCGTCCGTTAAGACGGACGGGGTGCCAACTATCTTCACTGAGTAGTGGTTACACCATCTGCATAGCGGATCAGCGCAAAGTCACTTCAGTTCGTTTTAACAACTCAGTCCAAATGCCAGTCCGTTGCGAAATACACGCACGCATACGCCCAGTCAAAGTGACCAATAAGAATGTTTCCTCCCGCTTAGTGCATAACTCGTTGTAAACCATTCTGTTTTATGACAGTGTTTTAGCGCTACAGTTATTTAAAGTCCGTAGAGAGCTACTTGGAATGCAACATACACAACCAACTCTGTGATAATTGTCGGTGTTTTCGTGTTTGCGTGAATAGCGTGAAATAGGATATTAATGTGACTTTTATAAAGGCAAACGGTAGATCATGATTTTATTGATTCATAATGGGGAATATCTGGAACTTTGCCCTTATCAGTGAACTGCATTATATTTGTATTCTCAGTAGCCCTAAAGCGATTAACGGCGTTACGGTAGATTTATTATCTCATTAAAATTTCAACCAAAATTCTGAAATGTGTTTACGCAAGTACGGTTGTAAAATGGACTATAGGGCAGCATAATCCAAAGCTATTTTAGACACATCGGGAAGCCGGCTTCTAAACGAGCTTCCTTTCGACGGCCTGCAGAAAGCATACCCGGGCTACAAAATGGTATGCATTTTGCCGCATTGATCTTCGACGTCCTCATAAATTCAAATATATGTCATAGAAAACATGCACAAAAATATTCTTTCTTGTAATTGTCTGGGAGAAAATCGCGCCTGCTTCAAATCTTTTACTTGAAAATTGGGAATATTTTTTGTTTTAAAAACGCTTCTGAATCACCATATGACTTTGATCCTTATCGGCCGCTTAACTTGCATTTAAGGTTTCTAAACTACATGCTGTATGCACTGGGTCTAAGGAAAATCACAGATTTCTCGACGCGCTGAGGAATATGTCCCAGAGTTCTCGTACAATTTTGCGATGGGTGCGGGTTGTGCTGTATATTCTATTGGCAACATTTATAAATTGACGCATACGATGAATGAACATTTCACGGTTTTAAAAAATCTCATAATTCTAGACATTTTTAAAATATAAAGATTCGCCATTGCGTTTAGACTGTACGATAATCAATATTGCAATCCTCATTCATTATTTCTTTCTGAGTCGGAGCTAAATTTCTGGATTTTGGTTGATATTTCATGAACTGCAGCTATCAAGTTGGGGCCACCTCCCATCCAAACGGATCACCATCTTTTTATGTCTCATTTCTTTCTCATGCACTAACTATCTCACTGTATATTTAAACCATTTGTATTATAAGCCTATATTTTGTATCCACATCAACCTTCCTCCACCTCTTTCGTCCGGTCGAGTGAGATAATATGTATAACGACTCTGTTCAGAGTATTCTTTATCAGGATTTCACCGTTCTACATTGCCTAGGATGTGTACTCCTCAACATCCTTGGCTGCCACAACATGTGTAGATCTGTGAGCTTCCAATTTATCCAAAACGTCCCTATTATCTTTAATGCATGTACAGTAAATTACCGTCAAGTGTATCAGCTCAAGAGCAGGAAATTCAACTAATCAACAGCATCCCATGACGCAATAGTCCGAAGTGCCAGAGAATGCAGGAGAGAACGTAACTTACACCGGTGATTGGCTCTCTGGTGGGTCTCGCAAAATAAACAGAAATACAGCATAACGGGTCCTGCATGCAAAATGCCTCAGTTTGTAAAAGTTTGATCATTACTCGCATACCGGCGTGAACACATCTACGAAACCCTAGAAATAATAATGAACAACCTGAGGCGCATTAAGTACTTCAAAGAAGTATAAGAAGTTCTAAGTGTTTGTTAAGAAAAATAAAATTTTTCCGATAATCTCCAAGTTCCGGAGACGTAAAAAATAGATTTATGTTAGAGCAATCTATTCAAATATTTTCTTAATTTAAAAACTTAGGGTAAAAAACTTTCTTCATATAAAAAGAAACGTTTTAGTCAAATGTTTTTTACATATTACCATCAACGGATAAATATTCACTTATTATCGTCCTTTAAATTCTAGCATTATTTCCAGCGTTTTCAGTGTCTTCATGTGCTCATCTATAAATTGATTTTCTGTTTGACGTTTACATCAACACATTTAAAATAAGATAAAAATCAGGATCATTTACCGAAAAAATGAGTTTTTGGATATTATTTCTTACGAAGATAGCCATGTGGACCATATATAGAAATGTCTCAAAACGGCAAAGCACATTGCCGAGCATAAATAACGTCCGCAACAGCATTCTGATATTCATATTCCTTTATAAATAAAAAAGCTTTCTGTAATAGGTTACCTCTTTAAAAGGCACCTTGTTTAGATATCCAGCTGACGAATTTCTGTGCATATTACCCTTCTCCAAGGCAATATCAAAACAAAATTGGAGACTTTTGACAAATGTTTTTAATTTACCTGAAGATAAACGATTTAATTTGACTGGAAATGAAAAATTTTACTTTTCTATTTGTAATGGATTATTTTCCGCTATAGTGGATTACTTCCAGGATGAATTATAACCTTGCGATTGCACAAAAATACTGACCACATATGTGGCCATTTTTTGAAATAATAATAATTATTCTGTGTGTTTTGTTTCTAAATAACGCATAAGCGGAACGTTTAGGTTACAAAAAGTATATTTTTAATGACTTACATTTCATAAGGCCTAGTTCACATTACCTTCGTGGTAACATATATGGACACTTTTCTTATGTGCCATGTAGGCGATGCGTTAAAACAAAATGCGACCACAATTTTTGTTACTGCGTTTTGTGAAAAAAAACTCATAGGTTAGCTAAACATAATTTTAAGACATAAATTGTTCCTTCTATCTGAACTTGGGTTCAGTTGCACCTGAACAATTTCCAACGAAAATTTCCGGTTCTGAAAGGCGTGTGTTTTACCTTTTTTAACTTGTCTTGGAGTTCTTCCATTGCACAATAAATATTCATCAAAAACTTGGCTCTGTCTTAGTTAATAGCATAGGAAATTCCTTCGATATTAGACGACTCCCAATTTCGTCAAAATTAATGCGGGTTACCTTGAATAAACTTAACTAACTGGGCGATTTTCCTAACTAAAAGGCACTCAGTGTATCAAAATAACGTGACCAAATAGATGCTAATCTAGCAAGCCAGTTTTATTTCATGTAAGTTGCATGCAGGACTCGCCATACTGTATACTAGTCACAAGTAGAAAGACAACTTCACCATAGAACACAGGCGCAATTACAGGAAGGCCGTTTGTTTAGCCAAATCGCCAACCATTCCGTTTGTTAGTCTATACAGCATCAAAGTGATACTTAATACGCATGAACTCTACAGGACAAGAGGGACGTATCTAAAAGCTGGAAGAAGTCGGATGAACGGACAGGTTAATATTTCAAAAAATCCATCTCGTCAAGCCACGATTAATTATAACGCGCAGTACGTCTTACCAAACACAGCTTCTCATTTTTGACTAACTAAGGGTCCGATTTACTTTTAGACCAAAATATGGCTCAGCGGCAGAGGTCGTAAGTGGTGCATATTTTCAAGAGGAAACGTAAGGACAGTCAGCGTTGAAACCGCTTTTTCGTCCAGAAGAACAGAAAAGCCCATTATATCCTCCAAATCATAAACGTTTAACAGTCTCTGCGGCATCCACTTACCAGTCAGTTCAAGAGGTAGTTGCCATTTGGCAAAAACACGAACACCTACGTCCACAGGAGCAGGGCTAGCGACATTTGCATCTACAATTTGTTCATGAGACGAAATAGCTACCCACAAGCACACCAAATCATCCCCTTACATTCAAACTTCGCGCACATAAAATTTCCAATAAATAGTAAAGAATATGCTCTACTCCCTGATGGCATTCCTTAACAAAAATACAGTTATATTCCAAGCTACTAAAAGCAAGATAAAACAATATCAATTTTTAGAACTCGATGAAAAATTAGAAGGTCATATGCAAAATGAGCCATATTCCGACCTGGAGCATGGTCGATCCCCTAGGTTCATTGAAAATCTAAAGGCTTTTAATGAGATCACACTGCAAAAGCTCAATAATATGTGCCACCACAGCCACTGAGCAGTCTACTCGGGAGGGTAAAAAGCGACTTAAGTGGTGCTCCTGGGTATCATTAAGAAGGATAGCATTTTTAAAGGAGGGCTAATGTATAGTGGATTTGCCAAAGTCACAGCAAATTAATCCGCGTAAGTATTCAAAACCAGACCAACAAAAAGTTTGGAATTGTTGTCCGGCATAGAAGATGGTGAGACATCAAGCGCTCAAAGTTTGGCCGATTTTCCTCCCCCGGAAGCAGAATAATTAAGCTATGCTAAACTTTCGGCCAAAGTAATTCGCGTTTCCGGCTCTTCACCTCCAGAACGTTCGAAAGATCGCGGGCGTACAAGTCTCTCTCTATACTACCGGCCCAAAAGATAGTTTTTTTTTGGTTCAGGACACACAGAAACATTAGGCTGACTAAACTCGTGAGACATGAACTGTTATGATAAGCCCTGAAAATGTCGTGCATACTTATAAGCATTACTCACTTGGAGTGCTGAGCCCCAATTTTGACCCGATCTCATTTGTGCTGGAATGTCGCCAAGTGGATCTTTCGTAGACTGTGGTGTTGTCGAGGTCGTCCGTCAGCCCACCCTCCCAGGACACCAGTACCATTTCCAGCTGAACGGAGGGCGCAAACTGGCAAATGCACATCATGAATTGGTCATTAGGGTCAACGTCTTCTACCGCAGTCGATGTTGTCCTCAAAGTGCGTCGGACCAGAATTTTTGAGTCGATCTCCTCCTCCGTTGTCTCGGTTGCGACAGTACCATTTTTTCGTTTGACCACTATTGGGGGGAGGAGAAGGAGGAGAGGAAAGAAACTTTCGCAAGTGTGAAGTTCCAAAAACCAGCTTCCAAGGAAGGAAAATTAAACGAGAAAAAAAAATACGAAAGATATGTGGGCGACATATAAGGTTAAAGGAAGGTTAAGGAATACGTAAATTATCCTTTGACGACAATTAAAAAATGCAACATAAGACCTCCGACACTCCATGCTAAAGAATTGTCGGAAAAGGCAGACAAATAACGTATGTTCGAGTATCTTGTATCCTTTGATTCGGTATCCAGGCGTAACGTGTACGTCAATTACAATAGTAACAACCGTTAGCGTATGACGGTAATATTAAACAAATAAGTAAGACTAAATAATGTCCAAATATCAATAGTGGATACATACAGTCAATAAAAAAGGAGTCGGTCAAATATCGCCTGACTCTAGAAGAAGAAAAAATGCATGCTCAATAACGCCACATGTGTACAGGGCGAAGGCAGACCCAGAGAGAGCGTGTGTGTGGGAAAGATGGGGTGGCCGCTGCTCTCATGCGCACTGTAGTCAGTTCAAGTGGTGTCCGATTGTTTTGAAACATTGCCCGCAAGGGATGTCGTGTGCAGGGGCTCATGCTGCGTTGGCGGAGGAGCGACGAGTCACAAACAGCTGTCTGTGCAAAGTGGTTTAAGGTTGTGGCAAGAGGCATTGAACAAGGGAGGGGGACAACATTACTGGCTATCTGCCACAAAGTCTGTCAGACTCAGCGAGTCAAAACGGCTGTCTGTTGAGGCAGCGGACATTGCAAAAGGGGACGGACAACAACGTTGGGGGGAGGGAACAACCGCAGGTAGGTTAAGCAGAATTTCACGGGAGATGGACAAGGAGTATCCCAAAGATTGCTCAACCGAAGATAACAACGTATATTATGAAAAATAGCAGTCCATAAAACGTAGGCAAATCGGATACCTCTGTTGGTCTAAGCATCGAGTCAACGCCAATACTTCAATATGACACCACAAAAGGGGTTAGAAGTTGGCATGAACGCAAGTTGCAGGCTCATTCCTGGTAGACTTTCAAGCTTGTTATTTCGAAGACACTGATAGCATGCATTTAGTTAGATAGCCATAATGGGGCCACTTTATCGCAATTCTCTATTTTGTCGTCTCCACAAAAATGTAATCCAGCAGGTGAGACAATAGTTAGTTAACGGAACGAAATGAACCAAACATGTCAGGAAGCAAATTAGCTTGCATAAGAACGTGAGACAATAGTTAGTTAACGGAACGAAATGAGCCAAACATGTCAGGAAGCAAATTAGCTTGCATAAGAACGCTAAACCATACCCGAACTTTCAGTCAAGTTGTAGAAATTGCTGGTGAAAGATTTGGAAATTCCTCATTGCAATTTTTTATCTTACCGAGCAGACTTTCTGTAAACCCATAGCAAAATAACTGATTGTGCAGAAAATTTTAAATTTTTACAGCTATTAAGTTTTTGTTTAATATGATGATCCCTTATATCTGAAAAGGTACAAGGACGTAAAAATACTAGTTAAATTATTTTCTATAGGCGCAAGGAGTTTAAAAGCGTTCGCCTATCTTTCCCTCAATAAACTGATACTGATACTGAAGATAAACGTCCGACACAGACTTTGTTAAACTCCCTTAGGTAGTTTATGTGAATCTGATGAGATGCGTATTTGTTTGCGAGGATCAGTTAACAGAATTCTTTATTTGAATACTGGTTGTTCACGGAAAAAGGACAAATGGCCTTTTCTGGAATGAGTTACCATAGCGATAATTGAATACTCAACAAAATACTAGCAAAAGTGTTCAAAAATAATTTTCATTTCAGGGTGAAGTGAAACGGGCACAAAGGTTTTCATTAATTAATAGCTCTGAAATAGGTCTGCTCAAGCTACAACCATATTCACTTAATCCCACGCAGCCACTGACAATAAAATCCGTTTTGCTCCAAGTCCTTAACAAACTCTATTATGCTATCCCCTTCACTAGGTAAATTGTGTAACATAGGTTGGTCTTAGAGATTGTCCGTCGGCAAAACATTTTAAGTTGAGAAATATTACATGGAATAAGTTCCTATTTATTATTCAAAGCTTACGCATTATAATAGTTTGATTTGCATGATAAAATTCTCATTTTGTTAATCCAGCTCCAAGCATATTATTGAGATAGCTGCTATATTCAGATGAAGGTACCAAAGTGTCTGCAGGTTTTTTTCAACCTAACTTGATAATTATATACATATTTTAAAATGGTTAAAACCAATTCAGCTTTGGTTATCATTAACTACCGGCCTCAAGTTTCATCAATTAGCTCTCATTCCAAGTTTATCATTCGGGACAAGAGTTCAAATCCACATAGCCAATAAAAGTCAATTAGCTGATGTCATTTTAAAAGGAGTGCCTACAGAAGGCAAATATCAGCAGTCCAAAGTGAATTGTGACTCGCCCTATGAACTTCCGTTCACATGCAAGCACAGCAATTTACTTCAGTTTTTTTGCTATTTACAAGTCGTTTAATTTAAAGCGGTTAGCTTCCTGTTGTGATGATTAGGTTACCAAGTTAAGTGCAATCTTCCAAGAGGCTTCAAATAAAAATACTTAAGAAAGGATAAAACTAATAAAAATTAGGTACGGTGACGTCTTCCAATATAAAACGTTGCAGATATTGTCAGGAAATCGAGTAAAATTGTTAAGCAGGGCAATTTGCATTGCTATGACAGGATTTCGGACATGGGAGGAATTTCCGAGGAATAAATATTTCTAAATGATTAAATAAATTTTCAGAAATCGTTTTTTTGGAAGTAAGAATTTAAAAGGATTATATAAAAGCACTCCCTACAGAGCTTATGCGAGATGATCTTAAATAATTTGAGGGCATCTTTTACTAAAAAAGAACAGTCAAAAACATAGAAAACTTATAGAGAAAATCGACTTATTTAAATCATTTTTTACAAAATCGGCTGCCTCAATAGGGTTCTAAATCACGGCCACACGGTCACAAACTACAGGAAACTTTGAAATTAATCATAACCGGAAAAATTAACCTACTCGGCCTAGTTCAACACGCGGAAGTCACAAACTCTGATGCAATAAACTGGTTGACCAAGTTGGAATATACAGGGTGTCCCAGAAGTAACTGACCCTTTTGATTTGCTAATAAAA